CCGCCCACCTCGGCCTCCCAAAGTGTTGGGATTACAGGCGTCAGCCACCGTGTCCAGCCCCGAGACGGGGTTTCACCATGTTGGCCAGGCTGGTCTCGAACTCCTGACCTCAGGTGATCCAGCTGCCTCGGCTTCCCAAAATGCTGGGATTACAGGCGTGAGCCTCCGCGCCTGGCCCAAATGTTTATTTTTATTTAATTTTAAATTTTTTTTTCTTGAGGCAGGGTCTCACTCGTCTCCCAGGCTGAAGTGCAGTGACTCCATCACAGCTGACTGTGGCCTCAACCTTGGGGGCTCAAACAATCCACCCACCTTAGCGTCCCCAACAGCTGAGACTACAGGCATGGGACACCACACCCAGCTAATTTTATTTTTTGTAGAGACAGGGTCTCACTATGTTGCCCAGGCTGGTCTTGAACTCTTGGACTCAAATGATTCTCCCTCCTCGGTCTCAGAAAGAGCTGGGGTTACAGGTGTGAGCCACTGCATCCAGCCATTGAATGTATTTTTTATCAATTCTTTTTTTGGCACAACTGCCAGTAAAGAAACCACTCAGTCTGCAGGTGCTGAGTGCCAGCAGAATTAGTACCGCCACTGAATTTCCTATAGAATTACTGAAAAATCTGTCAAGGAATTGTAAGTTGATCTTTCCTAATTTTAGTTTCATTTTGTGTTTTTAATAAAATGAAAGGCCAAAAAAAAAAAAGAATTTCCACCACCACCACTTATATAGCATAGTTACGGTAGTCACTAGAGTTCCTATTATGGTGAAATTTACATTCATATTCTCTTTAAGTATTTTGGGAAAATAAAATTTTGAAATGCTTAATAATAACTGGAAGATGTCTATTTCTACTGAGAAAAGTGGTGATTTTCTCCAAAGTCCAATTGAATACAGCATATTTTCTGCTCATCTATTAAATGTAGCATTTTTATGTATAGTTGCTGTAATTTTCTGAGCTGAAAGTGACAAAAGGTTACATAGATGGCATTCAAGAAAATATGTTTTGAATGAATATGAGCAAAAAGTCAAGCCTAAAGCAAAGAGGGCTTGGATAAGACAAAGATTCAGATTGTATCACTGCATGTGCTTCATCTCTAAAAGTCCTGTAAGTAATACAGTCACTAAATTCATATAAAAATATGACTAATTTTGAAAGGGTTTTTGTTTTTATTTATTTATTTGTTTTTCAGACAGAGTCTCGCTCTGTCACCCAGGCTGGAGTGCAGTGGCACCATCTCGGCTCACTGCAACCTCCACCTCCTGGGTTCAAGCAGTTTTCTGCCTCAGCCTCCCCAGTAACTGGTACTACAGATGCCCGCTACCTACCATGCCCAGCTAATTATTTTTAGTAGACACGGGGTTTCACCATATTGGCCAGGCTGGTCTTGATCTCCTGACCTTGTGATCCACCCACCTCGGCCTCCCAGAGTGCTGGGATTACAGGCGTGAGCCAGTCCATTCCTGTCCTGAAAGTATTTTAATACAGTGAGTTCACTAACTTTTTTTTTTTTTAGACAGAGTTTCACTTTTGTTGCCCAGGCTGGAGTGCAATGGCACAATCTGGGCTCTCTGCAACCTCTGCCTCCCAGGTTCAAGCAATTCTCCTACCTCAGTCTCCTGATTAGCTGGGATTACAGGCATGCGCTACCACACCCAGCTAATTTTGTATTTTTCGTAGAGATGGGGTTTCTCCATGTTGGTCGAGGTGGTCTCAAACTTCCGACCTCAGGTGATGCACCCGCCTCAGCCTCCCAAAGCGCTAGGATTACAGGGGTGAGCCACCACGCCTGGCCTAACTTTTTTCTTTAATATTTCTTAGAACTTTTCTCCTGTGTAACATATCTATATTGCTGTGTAATGTATCATATTATATATATGAATGGATTCTTGGGCTGTATCACATGTCCAACTCACCTCTTTGTCATAGCTGGTATATTGCTAGTGTATTGTGCAACAGTGGAGTAGCGAACTTCCCACTAGAATGAATGGCATTAAAGGACAAAGGTTTCACTGAAGCATGGCTTATTTATTGTTTTGCCAGGTGTTCCAAATTTTACATAAATTCGTATAACACTATAAAACTGGACCGCGTGCGGTGGCTTACGCCTGTAATCGCAACACTGTGGGAGGCCGAGGTACACGAATCATTTGAAGCCAGGAGTTCGAGACCAGCCTGCAAAACATGGTGAAATGCATCTCTACTAAAAATATAAAAATGTGGCCGGGCGTGATGGCTCATGCCTGTAATCCCAGCACTTTGGGAGGCCAAGGTGGGCGGATCACGAAGTCAGGAGATCAAGACCATCCTGGTTAACACGGTGAAACCCCATCTCTACTAAAAATACAAAAAATTAGCCAGGCATGGCAGTGGGCACCTGTAGTTCCAGCTACTCGGGAGGCTGAGGCAGGAGAATGGTGTGAACCCGGGAGGTGGAACTTGCAGTGAGCCAAAATCACACCACTGCACTCCAGCCTGGGCAACACAGCGAGATAACGTCTCAAAAGAAAAAAAAAAAAGAAAAGAAAAAGAAAAAAGAAAAAAATATATATATATAAATTAGCTGGGTGGGGTGGTACGCATCTGTAGTCCCAGCTACTCAGGAGGCTGAGGCAGGAGAATCGCTTGAACTCAGGAGGCCAAGGTTGCAGTGAGCTGAGATCACGTCACTGCACTCCAGCCTGGGCAATGCAGTGAGACTCCATTTCAAAAAGAAAAAAAGAATTGCCTTAAAATGCAACATGGGTCTGAGCCTAAGTCAATAACTAAAGATCAAAAGTTTTTAAGAAGTCAACATACTGACAAAACTGATTTTCTTTGATCTGATCAATGTACATGTTGATATGCACATTGGAAAAAATGCAAACAGCAATACTAATGCTACTGAAATAATTTCTTTTATCAGGGTAAGAACTGTGTGACTCATGCCTTCATTTAGATTCATTTAAATCTGGAGCTAAGTTCAAACAACTCTGGGAATTATGATTTCAGAATGCAGTGGGCCCAGCGCGGTGGCTCATGCCTGTAATCCCAGCATTTTGGGAGGCCGAGGTGGGTGGATCACGAGGTCAAGAGATCGAGACCATCCTGGCCAAAAGGGTGAAACCTCATCTACTAAAAA